CCTTTGGTCGCAGTACCGCCACCTTCGCCACCTTTGGTCGCAGTACCGCCACCTTCTGCTCTGGAATGTAAACGCTTCGCCTATGAGAAAAAGGAGCAGCGCATGAACCGAACGCAACACACGCGAAACGAACCGAGACAGTCGAATCGAACGGTTCGGACGGTTTTCATAAACCAATCCATCCCATATATATATATATATATATATATATATATATATATATATATATATATATATATATATATATATGTTAGTGTGTGTGTGTGTAGCGCACGCACCAAGACGAACAGAGATAAACAACAAACTAAATTTGAAAGAAGTACACTGGGCGGGGCCTGGGAACGTTATCATAAAGATTTGAAAGTTATCAGTTACAGGTGATACAACTGAATTGCCATATTCAATTAATATGTTATTTTTTCTCAATCAGTTGACTTTCATATATTTTAAGTCGGAGCTCCACTTAATAGGAATACAAATTATTATCCCGTTTAACCTTGTTAAGAATTGTAATTTAGATAAAGGTATGATTATGTCAAACAAACTCCCTGGGAATATGGAGAAACTTAAGTACTTCTAAATTAGATGCAGACTGATACATAATGTGAATTTACACCCTTTTAGTAAAGGGAAAAAAAGAAAGGAAAATAATGCATTACATTAATTGGTTTTCCATTTTCATCTTAATTATAGTGATTTGCATCACAACTACAGTCCACATGAAACATCAAAATGTTCAAGCAATGCTTTCAAACCCAATGTTGATCCCTAATTAACCCGCTGCAGGCCTGATTCGATGCTCTGCAGCTTTGGAGCCAAAAACAAACAGCTGGTTCTCTCAGTGAACCAAACAATATAAAAGCAGCTGCATTCGTTCTGTGTTGGTACTCACTAATCCTTCAGAGCTGGAGATCAGTCAGGAAAGGTAGATGTAGAAACTCCTTTAAAGTGACACTGGGTGAAATACTGGCACCCAGTGGTTGAATGGGGAACTTCTGCTGCTCCAGCAGGTCCAAACAGAAGCTCCTGGTTCTCTGTAGATGTTAAAAGCTCTCAGTCCCTTTAGCTTCTATGGAGGAAAAATACAATAAAATCACTTTGGTTTCTTATGGAGTCATGACGGATTTTTACAAGCCTTTAATTTTAACATTTATATTTCAACCTGCAACACCATGTGCGGCAGCGGCTACATGACGCTAGCATGCTAACTGCTAGTTACGCTACACTGAGCTAAAACAAACCAACAGAAACATTTACCTGATATTTGTTTCTAACAGTCCGTCCCAGTCGGCAGCTCTGCATTAACTGTTGGGTTGGATAAGTTTATTTTATCATATCTGCTCCGATAAGAAGTCTGAATTCTCCAACATCAAACGCGGACCATAAGCCCCGCCCACTCCCTTCTGATTGGTCACACTGACCTGGACCTTAAAAAATAGAAATTGTTGCGCGAGGCCATAATTAAATGGTCCGCGAGACCGAATTAAACCATTATTTGTTTTTTTTTTCTCTCTAAAAAGTTAAACTTTGGTTTTCTGCTGTTGCTG